AGTTAAATGTAGAAGTTTACGTTTCAATATTTCATAATGGAATGCAGCCTTTGCTGTTGGTGCTCGGCTCTTGGTATGATGTCATCATCCTGAGACAAATGCTAATGCTGCTAAACGCTTCCCCACAAGACTTCAAACTTGCAGTTGCGGTCAGTAGCTATGTTTACATGGACATAAATCATCGGATTAAACGGCCATTCGGAATAAAAATGTGCCATGTAAACACCCCATTCGTATTATTCTGATCTGATTCAGCTCGATCCAAATGAATTTGTCATCGAAATGAGAGGGGTGGTTTATACCGATTGATAATCCGAACAGCGTGCATGTAAACACTTAATCTGATCATTTTATTCTGATTGTGGAAAACTGACCTGACTGCGCATGTCTGTTGACTTTCATCCAGCGGTTTCCAGCAGCACAGAACTTTTCCTCCCGTTCTCTCATTCAATGAAGAAGGAAGACACACAGCCTGCGTCGCTTCACGAAAAAATAAAAGTCCGCTCATCACCTGCAGCTCAACCAAGGGAGCGCAGTAACGTCTTATTAAAACCTGTCGCAGGTCCATTCTGAGCTCAGAAGCTGTTTTTTATGTTCGTGACAAAGTAAAACTTTTTTTTTTGGCGGGGAAAGTTAGCAACTGCGCATGTCAGAGCTTCTGTTCTGAATAAAAGCCCGGTGCATGTAAACATAGGTCATCGTCAAAAAAAAAAACAAAACAAAAAAGAACTTACGCACCTGACTACATTTTGTCAGAGTCTGGTGTAAAATGTCTGTTAAATCTCTAAAACATAAAGTATGAACCCTCTCACCCAAATTTTATATTACATGTTTTTTTAGAGGCTTTCTTTAAGCATTAGGCTGTCAAAAATTATTTATTTAGTAAGCAGTGAGTATAAAGTTACTGGTAGTTTAGTATGAAGTAAGCTGTCCTAGCCTTATGTGTCATTATGTGCAGCATATTTGTTCACTTAGCCACTACTGCTAACACAATCCTCTTGTCTTCCCTCTTATAATTGAAATAATTAATTGCGTACTTCCTCATCAAAGTCCTCACGCTCTCAGACTGTTTTTCCTTCATCTCTGCCTTTAAGCTTCCCTCCTCTCTCTGCAAAGGTTCTGACTGCCTCTCTCATTCACACACATTCTGTCTTGTCTCTACTGACTTTCATTCCTCTTCTCTCCAATGCAAACCTTCACCTTTCCAGGATCTTATCCAGCTGCTCTCTACTCTCACCACAGATTAGTCATCTGCAAACATCATGGTCCATGGAGCCTCCTGCCTGACCTCATCTGTCAACCTGTCCATCACCATTACAAACAAAAAAACATTTATTTATCAAAAATATAAAATCATTAGGTTGCTGAAAGGGGTAAAAAAAATTAATATTTGAAACCATCCAACATGAACAGAGAGGTGTAAAACTAATATTAAATATTATTATAATTAGAATTCATTTACATTTAGAATGTATGATTTTTCCCTGATTCATTCTTTTTGCTTGTTGATTCAGATTGTTCTGTTTCTAAAACAATAAAAAAGATTGGGTCTAAGTGGGCTCCAAGTGTTCTCTGTAACTGAAACCTTCCTACTTTTGGTGCAACATCCTACTCTGTTCTCCAGAGCTCAGAACTGATGCTTGGTTCTGTTAGACCCAGTCAGAATGGTTCTGTAGAAGGTGGGCAGGCCATCCCGTTCCCCCTCTGCACAGTCAGATCTCAGAGCTTGAAGCCTTGTTGTTTTGACTAAAACTGACTACAGACTACAGATACCGAACTACACTAAACTATCAAATCCAAATGCGTGTTGTGCTAAAAACATCATAAATTGAGTACTTTCTTTCACTCTCACTAGCTGCGTTTCCATTGCAAATGTGCGCAAAACTTTGTCGATATTCTGTTAATGTCGAAAAAACACAGTTTCGCAAATGTGGTGTTTCCATTAAGTAA